CTTTTCCTTCTTCGTCTTCTTCCTCGGAGGCTCCTGGCCGTCCTTTGCCGGCGCGCCGTCGCGCTCAGGCTCATCCTTGGTCACGGCACTGCCGTCTTCGGCCGTCCCCACACATTAGCTATACCTTGGTTGACACCTTTTCCGCTTGCCGTTTTGCTTGGCAGCTGCCTTTTTGATTCTCTTGTTCGCCTTTTTCCTCTGCGGTGCAGGCTTGCCCTCGATGACACGCTCCCACAGGTTGGCGACGTTGTCCGTGGTCACCTCTTGCTTCGCGCCGCCGGCGCCAGCCCTCTTGCGCTTGCTGGGCTTGGAAGCCGACTCCTTGACCTGCGTCTCAGGCTTGAGAGCATCGGCCGAGACGGACCAACCGGGCACGGCGAACATGATGGGTGTTCACGTGATGAGAGACGTTGGACGTGGCTGGGTTTGTGTCTAAGAGAGGTAGTGGTGAGATTTGTTGCGCTGATGGAAAAGTCTCACCACAAGCCGCCAGGTTTGTGAGGCGACCAAGATGCGTCAGTGAGTCCAGATTTGGCTGAGAGGTGGTGATCTCTCAATGTGAGGTGCCCGTGGTGAGGTTTGCAGTCGTCTTGCCTGCCAACCAGAGCTCGACTATTTGGTCTTGGACTGTTGAAGTTTTTTTTTCCACCATGGACCCCCATGCTGAGGGCATGCACCCCCCAGCACCCTCACACCCTGTGCCAGGACGCCACTTCAGTACCGCCGCCACTTGTTGTTCACCCCCAGCCGGAAACAGACCCCCCATTGGGCAGGTCAGTGGCAGGCAAGAGGTGGTCAGTGCAGGAAGTCTCTCTGCAGCAAGAACAATGCGGAAGTGCACACCTCCCCTGTTGCATCCAGGAAGAGCCTTGTAGAAGCTGTTGAACCCACAACAACCTACGAGGTCGAGTTTGGTAGCTCCGTCACTCCAAAACCTCGAGTTACCTTATGGGAATGTCCCGTCTGTGCCTCACCCCATATGCACTTAAGCTCTCAGTATGCATGCCACCATGTAACTACAAGCTGCTACATGTACGGCCTGTATCTCCACCTCATCTCGCCGCCCAAAAACAATCCCACAAAGCGGGAGAGATGGAGGGCAAAAGCCTCGCTGAGGAAGAGACGCAGAAACGCCGTCTGGTCTGGTTTCCTCAGTCCAATGGGAGAAACGAAACACTCCCCCCACCTCCTTCAACCAGAAGATCGGCAAGGTGAAAATCCGACCAAAGCAGAACGAGGCACGGAGCTCGATCTGCCTAGCCTAGCAAGCGCCCTTGATCCTGCATCTATCTCCCTGTTCACTGGCAAGGCACACATCCTGATCCAGAACGACCTCTCTTGTTCTCATAATCGTCATGCAGCACCGCAAATTCATCCGACCAATATAACGACATTGACCAGCCGACCGTTGCCCAGCCTCATCTCGGCACATATTACTGTTTGCCCCTCATCTCTTCCTCTGCATATCCCAGACCGCCTGAAAATCCTGGCCCATGGCGTCTGTTGTGGCTTTGAATGCACATTCGAACGAGGCCACTAACATTGTTATTCGTCCACTGACCTCACGAGGCGCTCTTTGCGTCCCGGAACCTCTCAGAACCGTGGCGATGATCCAGCCCACCACCGACCACGCCAGGGCAGAAGAACCGGGGACCCGCCCGCTGGCTCCCTTTTCTCTCCACGTCGACCTCATTACAGGCTGGGCTGGCGCCATGTACATGACATCGGCCCAAGGGTCCTCTCCGCCTTGCCAGGCTCACTCATGCACATCACCATGGGAGGTGGGAGCTGCGTGGCTGTTACATGTAGCACCATTGCACTTCCACGTCTCTTCTTCCCCTCTCTGCACACGTATCATCCCAATCGACGGTTTCTCTAGTACGTTGAAGCTGCTACCATATCAAGACTTAAGACGGCCCACCGCCCTTTACATGTACATGTACACGGTCTCAGGAGAGATGCGGACAGTGCCTTGCACTAAGAGATTGAGGATCCGTACTGAGGCACAAGTACATGGTACGCCGCCAAGGTCTGAAAAGCCATGCAACTGTCGAGGACGCCCGACCCCGCGACATCATCTCGTGCGAGAGACACCACACGACTCGCGGAAATGCACCCCCTTGAGCTTGCCCTTCTCGTATTCCAGTCAAGACCGAACTTCGTCTTGCGTTTCCAAAGCACAGGCTAAGGCAAGCAGGCACCCGTTCTGAACAGTACCCACCGCCACTCACTCCGTATGTGTTTTCTTGCCGTACCTCCCCTTGCTTGCGGGATACCAGGACAGTTTGCTATGGCGCCGGGAGCCCGGGCGTCCGCAGCATCTGTTGTTGACAGGTCGGGCCCAACACCAAAAAAAACACAGATTTTGTTCCGACCCTGTGGTTGTGGATGCATCTTGTGTCCCATTCTTACATCCTGGGAGGGTCAGACATCAGGTACCTACCTCTTTGCTTGTCTTCCTGCCTCATGTTTCTGAGGTACGACGAGACTGTGCCACATCGCGCTCAACATAATAAGCCTTTAGCAGGGTAGGCATGGCACAATCCACGTCATTGGTTAGCTGCTGAATCAGTCGAAGCCTGCCGCTCCAGCAGCATCGGTGCTGGTGTGCCGTGTTCTGGGCTGCCTATATGTAAGTCGAAGCTCGGTACCTCAAAGTAAGATGATGGGTGTCAACATTGGGTGACACTGGGGAATCTAACCCGCTGGCCCTTGTCCCCCACTACAACGGTCGGCCCTTGCAGTTATTTTGCCATGCTTATTAGAGAGGCAACCTGGATCTGGTTCCATTGAGACTGGGTGGGGTGAGGTTGGACAGCCAGCGCTTCGGTTCTTGCTAATTCCGATTGAGTTGTGCATCCATGTCAACAATTTTGAATCATCAACCGCCTGGATCACCTCTCTTTGGTTTGAGCAATGGCTCTGTGTGGAGGAGTCGTCATGACGCGATTCTACACGAGCCTCCCCCCGTTGCGAACAACAACGAAAGCCCTCTTGACTGCGATGAAGACACCCCGTTATTCGTCCCCGACTGGTGCTTGTCATGCCTGACAATCAATAAGGTGTGCGGGGACAAGGTCCACGGCGCCCAGATCGCAGGTTGTATTTGTGGATGCACTGGTCCAACAGCTTTTCGCAGTGTCCGCCCCTGCACAACGCTGTGGTTTGTGTTGCACGGGAAAGCCGAAACCACCTGACGACTCCGCGCCTGGCATGCCCGCTGTGTTGCGACCACTGCTGGCTCAACCACTGACTGTCCGGGAAGCTCCCTTCCACGGACGCTCAACGGTCAAGCCTTCAGACGACTAGAGGGGACCGAAGCAGCCGAAGAGGGTGGAGGCGAGATAAGGCCATTCCCACAACTACCGACCCAGCCCAGATCAGGCCCAACCACGTTACAAGGCAACGCCGCGCGCTGGAGACAAGACACGCAAGACACGGTCGCATGTGAGGTGTGCCTGTCGGCAGCTGATGCCGGTGGCCTGTCTCCTGGTCTGCCGGTAGTGTCTTCTCCCTACTTGGCCCTTTCAGGGTATCATCGCGTACCGCACCACACCGTATGTAGACAAGCCGAGCTGTCGGTTTCCCCATGAACCGAAGCTAAGACGGTAGGCGTCTGCCATGTTCTTCACGCATCCGACCACCCTGGACCATCATGACGGCTATTTTTTTTTTCCAGGGGGGAGGGGGGGGGGGCCAACAATGGTGTCGCAAAAGCAGCACGATCAGTAACCCGTGTGGCTCTACAGTGCCTACCTTACATACAAACATAGCCTATCGACTGCCGAGGACAATGTCGAGTGCCACCAATTAGTGTGTCTCGCACCACGAAAACCTTATGTACTGGGAGAAGTGAGCGCGGCCAGACCGGAAGCTGCTTCTTGCTCAAGGCAAGTCGCAGATCATCTTGTTCTCCATTACGCACCAGGACGTGCGCTCTGATCCACTATAGCTTTCCTTAGACCGGGACACGAATGGCGAGAAATCTGTGACCGAACCTCTTTCGGATGATCATCAACCCATTTAGCCCCAAAGCCACTCTGAGGTCCAGGCCACATCGCTGCGGGTCGTTTGCCAGCGAAAGCACATGCCAAGACATGCCGGCCGAACAGTGACCATCTGAGGAGCCACTTGGGAAGGCAGCGACGAAGCAGAGAGAACCGAGGGGATTCTTCGACTCAGAGTGACAGGACAGGACTGGACATGGGCGTCGTGCTGCTCAGCAACCCACCTATGTGCCTACAGTAGAGGTGAATCATTTAGAGACCAGAGTCCGCATCCCTGTTCTGGAGAACGCTGAACTGGCAAAACCTTCCGGCACAAGCCTTGCAAGACCCCCTCCATCACGACGGGATCGATCCCTGGGCAAACCCCCTCCCCTCCCCGAATCCCCTGGCCCAGCCTCACTAAATGGAAGCCAACGCCGTCGTTGGTTCTTCGGCTCAGGGTACACCCACTGGCACAACAACCTCATGGCGAGGGGAGGTACCTCTATTCAAATGTTGTACCGAAGAGGCCAAGTCTAGGGCAGCCCCACTCACTCTAAATCCTTCCATCATCTTCAGAGCTTCATCTTCTGGCTGGTCTCCAATCGCCCCTTTACCCTTTTCTCGTGCTTCTTCTTTTCGCCAAGTCTGCCTGTCCCTGTCCGTCGCCCCTCACTGTTCCTCGGCTCCTGCTTCATGCAGGCCGCCAACGCGAATACCCATGTTCGCTCTGCATCACACCAGAATCACCGAGTATCTAAAGGATTGAGCGCCAGCCGGACGGACACACACGATCCATCCTTCTCCGATGCCAGCTTGACAGACGGGTCCAAAAAACGCCGCGCTCTCATCAGTCAACTTCCGTTTCTTACCCAGCAATCCGGACAGGACTCGGGCGTTCAGAGTCCCAAGGAGCGACTGAGCCTCGTCAGGCCGTGCCCTTCTTCTTCCGCATTCCTCCATCGCAGACAGTTCTCACCTGCATCCCGAAGACCGACCCAGGCCTGGTCCAATTACCCCTCAAGCCCTCTTGTCCTGAACCTGAATGGAGCACGAGCCCACGCTGCTTGTCCAACCGTATCCACAATCATAAGGAGCCCTATCCCCAATATCCCAGGTTACACCGGCATGTTTCGGTTGCTTCCATTACATATAGCATAGAAGCGCTCGTCCTCCCGGAAGCCCGCCCCTACCTTTCCAGGGTGCTTTCTCACGCCCGTCGACTTGTGTGTGCACTTATAGGCGCGACGGTGGCCTCAGTCATCGGATTGCTGCTGGCGCCTTGACATTGAAGTACCGGCTATGTCAAGTGGCTCCTCCGACCTGTATCTCACTTTCGTGGCATGCGACTCCTTTTGAGCCAGCCAACGTCGCTAGCAAACTAGCATCTACGAAGATGGATTCGTCAGCATCGTCTGCAGCCCAGGAGGCAAAGGAAACCCCGATCAAGCCTCCAGCGGATGACAGGGACAACGACGACCAGGATGAGGCAGCTCGCAAGAAGGCTGCTGTTCGGAAGAGGACGAAGACGGGCTGTCTTAGTATGTTGTCCTCTGGGGCCCCTACTGCACACAGGGTCACCCTTCTCTCCCCCACCTTGCTCTTAGCCTCTGACATATCGTGAAGCTTGTCGAAAGCGCCGCATCAAGTGCGATGAGGGCAGGCCCATCTGCAACAATTGTACCAAGTCGAAGAGGAACTGCGAAGGTTACAACCAACGCGTCATCTTCAAGGACCCTCTCGGAGCCTTCCAGAATGGCTCCTTCGGTCCCGTTGTCTATCCTCCAGAGTCGACGCAGCAGCAAAATCTTGTCTCTCACGGAAACCAGCAGTCGAAACCCTCATCGCACGCCCCTCCTCTGGCTGCCATTGCCCCCAAGCCCCCAATGACACTCGATTTCCAGAACTACCCACCGGTTCCCTATGGGGAATCTTATCAGGCATACCAACAACATCAGCCAAGCGCTGCGGCATCGTCGACGTATAGCTTCAACCAGGGCTCCTACGAGCAACCTCCTGTACCAGCAAATACGGCATACATAGCGCCTGTTGCGTCCGTGCATCAACAGCGGAAGCACAGCGAGGGCCAACAGTATCTTCCATCGCCCGCGAAAGAAGAGGATGGATTCCATGGTTTCGGGGATTCGAGCCACACTCAGACGAAAAGCTACGCCGCGCAAAATGAGGTTGCGGCGAGCGGTCCCGGTTTTCAGGACACTGAGGTTCCGATGGACGAGGTGCAAGAACGAACCCAATGGGAGCATGTGTATTCAGACGAGGACGCCTCGATGGGTGAGTCGGAGGATGAGTTCGAGGCACTCCCGCGTGAGAGCACATACGGAACTTTGGTGCAAAGCCACATGGACGGCCCTCTGGACGGGTTCGGCACGGAGATGCGAACTTTCACGGCGTTTGCAAACGACGAAACCCTTACATCATACATTCCGCAGGCGATCAACTCGCCTTTGAACGACAGTAAGACGGCTGCGCTTTTCTGGCACTTTGTCAACGTTACCGGGCCGAGTATGTCTCTTTACGAACGACATCCTTTCGATCACAAGGAAAAGATGATGGGTAACCACCAGGCCCCCAACTCCAATCATAGCATCTGGACATGTAAGTGAAGTCTTGTAGCGTCTTCGGGGCATAGACTCACGATTCTAGACACCTTCCCCATCGTGGCCTTCCATCACCCCGCACTCCTGCAATCCATGCTTGCCATCGGTTCATTACAGATCGCAAGGCTCAAGGCGTTGCCACCGACGGCAGCCATGAAGCACTATCACCTGGCCATCAGACGAATTGCACGCAACGTCCGCAGCCATACCAAGAGGACACAGCCTGCAACGCTGGCGTCGACGCTGCTCTTGGCTTTCTTCGAGGTCTGGAACTCGGACCATTCGAATTGGTGTCAACATCTTCTCGGAGCGAGACTGCTGTTTAAGGAGATACCATTCCGAGACATGACCAGAAACATACTGCCGCTGAAAAGAGCGAGACGGGCTATGTTTGAGCAAGAACGAAACCAACCCCTGGACCCCTTTTTCATGGGTCACGATAATGGTGAGGCTGACAAGATTGACCTTGATGACCTCGACTTGGGGTTTTTGAGCGAGATCACAGGCCAAAATGTGGACTACGAGGAGGGCACCACGCTCTCGGGGCTGTACTACACGGATCGCGATATTGAGCAGTATGAGCACCTACGAGACCTCTTTTGGTGGTATTCCAAGATGGATGTCTACCAAGGACTCCTCTCAGGCGGCAAGCCCTTGTACGTTTCTTCAATCACATGTTCATCGGTTCAATCCGGCTGACAGAGAACTTAGTATGGAGTACGAGCACTGGACCCAGTGCCCTCCGCGAGCACCGATGGGAAGGTTGGAGGCAATGTGAGTAGAATCGCGGGCGTTTTCGTGTATCGGATTACTTGCTGACTTGACTAGCTACGGCACATATGATCA